AGACCGGGGTGGTGGTCCCCCTATTCAAAAAGGGGGACGGTAGAGTGCGTTCCAACTACAGGGGAATCACGCTCTTAAGCCTCCCTGGTAAGGTCTATTCGGGGCAGTAAGTCGGGCTTGTTCCCGGTGAGAGTTGGACTCCGCCAAGGTTGCCCTTTGTCACCGATTCTGTTCATAACTTTTATGGACAGAATTTCTAGGCGCAGCCAAGGTGTTGAGGGGATCCGTTTTGGTGGCCTTAGGATTGCGTCTCTGCTTTTTGCAGATGATGTGGTCTTATTGGCTTCATCAGATCGTGATCTACAGCTTTCGCTAGAGCGGTTCGCAGCCGAATGCGATGCGTCCGGGATGAAGATCAGTCCCTCCAAATCCGAGGCCATGGTCTTGAGCCGGAAAAGGGTAGAGTGCCCTCTCTAGGTCAGGGAGGAGGTCCTACCCCAAGTGGAGGAGTTCAAGTATCTTGGGGTCTTGTTCACGAATGAGGGAAAAATGGAGCGTGAGATCGATAGGCGGATAGGTGCAGCGTCTGCAGTGAAGCGGGCGCTGTACAGGTCTGTCGTGGTGAAGAGAGAGCTGAGTCAAAAGGCGAAGCTCTCAATTTACCGATCGATCTACGTTCCTACCCTCATCTATGGTCACGAGCTTTGGGTTGTGACCGAAAGAATGAGATCTCGGATACAAGCGGCCGAAATGAGTTTTCTCCGCAGGGTGTCTGGGCTCTCCCTTAGAGACAGGGTGAGAAGCTCGATCATCCGGGAGGGACTCGGACTAGAGCCGCTGCTTCTCCATGTCGAGAGGAGCCAGTTGAGGTGGCTTGGGCATCTGTTTAGGATGCCTTCTGGACGCCTCCCTGGTGAGGTGTTCCGGACACGTCCCACCGGAAGGAGGCCCAGAGGAAGACCCAGGACACGCTGGAGGGACTATGTTTCTCGGCTGGCCTGGGAACGCCTCGGGATTCCCCCGGAAGAGCTGGCCCAAGTGGCTGGGGAGAGGGAAGTCTGGGCCTCCCTACTTAGGCTGCTACCCCCGCGACCCGACCCCGGATAAGCGGAAGAAAATGGATGGATGGATGGATGGATTCTGATTTACCTCATTTTGTATTTTGCTTTGTGTGTTACCTGTTGTTCTGTCTGTACAGCACTTTGGTTGGCCTTGTAGCTGTTTTAAGTGCTTTATAAATAAAGTGGTATGGTATCTTTTAACAAGCCTAACCTGCTGCACATCCTTTCCAGCCTGATCCCTCTGTCTCACCAATCAGTACAAGTCCTTCTCTTCCTCTTTAGTGTCCAGTCTCCCATACAACTCATCATACACCTTCTGCTTTGCCTTAGCTTCCTCCCTCTTTGCTCTACGTCCCATCTCCTTATATTCCTGTCTCCTCTCTTCAGTCCTCTCTCTGTCATATTTCTTCTTGGCTAACCTCTTTCTTTGAACAGCTTCCTGCACTTCACTATTCCACCACCAGGTTTCCTGATCATCCATTCTCTGTCCAGATGACACACCAAGTACCTTCCTACCTGTCTCTCTAATTACTGTTGCTGTAGTAGTCCAGTCATCTGGAAGCTCTTTCTTACCACCCAGAGCCTTTAACAGCTCCTCTCTGAACTTCTCACAACATTCTTCCTTCTTCATCTTCCACCATTTGGTCTTCTTCTCTGGTTTTACTCTTTTTCTCTTCTTCACAACAACAGTCATTCTACACACAACCATCCGATGCTGTCTGGCCACGCTCTCCCCTGCCACAACCTTACAGTCTCCAATCTCCCTCAGGTTTCCTCTTCTACACAGAATGTAGTCGACCTGCGTACTCCTTCCTCCACTCTTATAGGTCACTCTATGCTCCTCCCTCTTTTGGAAACAGGTGTTGTCTACAGCCATTTCCATTCTCTTGGTGAAATCCACCACCATCTGTCCTTCCTGGTTTCTTTCCTTGACACCAAACTTAGGTCTGCTGAATGGATACATAAAACATCTACCTTCCTTCTCAGCATCATGTCAGCCAACTCTCTACCTTTGCCTGTCATTGTCCCCACGTTTAGTGTGTCCACAAACAGTCTGACATTCTTGACTTTCGTCTTCTATCTCTGTCTCCTGACGCGTTTCCCTCCTCCTGGTCTTCGACTAACAGTAGCACAACTTGCTCCGGCACCCTGTTTGTCAACAGCACCGCTGGTGGTCCTTGTTAACCCGGGCCTCGACCTATCTGGTATGGTGTCACTTGTGTGGCATGTGGTGTTCTGAGCAGCAACGTTTTTTATGTCTGATGACCTTCCTGACACAACCCTCACCATTTACCCGGGCTTGGGACCAGAATCAGAGACACACTGGCTTGTGTTCCCTAGCGGCTGGTGTATTTATTTTATTTTTTTATCATTATTCTACACTCCCTAACTTATTTGTAATTGTAACACTCTTCACAAGAGTTTGTGTCTTTATATATTGTTCTGTTTTATATTTATTAATTTTATGATTGTTTATTATTAAAAAAAAAAACGTGTACTTACTTAACATTACTCTGAAGTTGGGGTGAAGTGGGCGGGGTTTATGCATAATGTAGGTGGAGTCTTACATGATTTGGCACACTAGACTCTTAACAGAGCTAGCACAATTAGCCACAGCTAGGACAGAGACTCGGATAGTAAAACAGTCTTGTTGCATCACTTCCTGTTTGTGACATCACTTCCTGTCTGTGTGTTCAGGTCCCGTGACGAACGCAGTCATCATGCCTGTTTCAGCGAACATGTTCCTGCCCGACAGCCGGCCCGCCGTTCCTCTACCACGCTTCAGCCGACACCTTCACGCCTCCGAGAGGAATGACGAAGAGTCGGGGGTGGTGTGTCTCCGCCCTGCGCTCCATACACAGGTGAGTCAGCAGGTCATCCTGGTCGCGGCCCGTCTAAATAAATAAACGTTAAAAAGCAAAACAACTGGACTTTTGTTCTGAGCCTGAAGACGTTTACCGTCCGGGAGGATTCATCGGTTCGAACATTTTAGAACTCTTGAATTGTTCAAGCCTCTAGAGATCCTGTTGTTATTTTTTACATTTTTTAATATACTTTAAAAAGTTTAAATTAGTTTAAATTAGGTCCTTTGATGTTTTTATACGCCCGTCTATTTGCAGACGTTTCCTGATCAAGTCTCGTACGTATGCAGACTTTTTTTTGTCCCGCCCATCTTTTCTGATCAAGTTAATTAATAAAACTCCAAACACACGTGCGCATCAGCACCAGGCGGAGTGTCGTGCATACGTTTCATCACCTCAGCTTCAAGGTCACAAGTCAAGGTCAAGTTAAGTCCTTGCTAGCTACAGAATGCTGTATATAATACTGATCCTTCTGGTCTATAAGTCACTACTTTTTTCACAAGCTTTGAACTCCACGACTTATTTGATGCTGAGACTAATTTATGGACTTTTATTTTGACAGGCTAACAAGCTTCCTGCCAAACATTTAGTCTCGTCACACCTGGGCGCTCACATACACCTCTCTTGAGGCGTGGGTCCTTGTGATTTTATTTTACTGTTTAACACAGAGTGGGGGGGAGGGAGTCCCAGGGGATTCCCCCCTCCCCTTCTCTCCTCTCCTCCCCTCCCCGTTTCATTGGTTCCACTGTGATCTGTTCAGTAATTTTATTGGTAAAATATTTTTAACCTTTATTTATACAGGGAGTCTCATCAATGCATGTCTCTCTTTGGGGGGGGGGGGGGTCTTTCAGACTCGGTGAGACTACCTCATTGGTTCATTGTGGTTGACTGCTGGTCACATGGCCTCAGAGAGGGATTATGGGTAAAATGTATGTTAATTGTTAATCATTTCATGCAGCTGTTTAACATTGTGCTTTTAGAGGTTAGTCTGTTCTTGTTAGACTAGTTTGTGTGTTCATCATGTTAGTTTGTGTTCATCATGTGTTAGTTTGTGTTCATCATGTGTTAGTTTGTGTTCATCATGTGTTAGTTTGTGTTCATGTGTTAGTTTGTGTTCATCATGTGTTAGTTTGTGTTCATCATGTGTTCATCATGTGTTAGTGTTCATCATGTGTTCATCATGTTAGTTTGTGTTCATCACGTGTTCATTACGTGTTAGTTTGTGTTCATCATGTGTTCATCATATTAGTTTGTGTTCATCACGTGTTCATCATGTGTTCATCATGTGTTAGTTTGTGTTCATCACGTGTTCATCGTGTGTTCATCATGTGTTAGTTTGTGTTCATCATGTTAGTTTGTGTTCATCATGTGTTCATAACGTGTTCATCATTTGTTAGTTTGTGTTCATCA